TCTACTCTACTCTACTCCACATTTTGATTCTGCAACCATGAAGATGCTACAAGGTTTGTAAGTGCGAGTAACTGGTCATAACTAGCTTTTTTTCCCATGATGTTGTAACTTTTAACAGTCTCTAAACCAAGGGTTGTAAGGCAAAGACTACCAATATTGGGAAAAGAGTTGAAATCCGTTTATTTTGGTTTTCTTCCCTGGGAAGGTGTTAAATAATAAATCAGGGTTTTCAAGAATGCAGCCAACTTTTCGGAGGAAATGTTTGAATGTCTTGGAGCCCGCAAGCCAGACCATCTCAGTGTTCTTGGTTTGGGGTTGTTGTTGTTGTTGTTGTGTGTGTGTGTGTGTGTGTGTGTGTGTGTGTTTGGTTGTGGTTGTTGTTGTTTTGAGCAGTAGCTCAAGTGGTAGGGGGTGTTATTTTTGGGGGGGGGGGAAGGAGGCATCTTTTACAATGATTTCAGTTCAATAGCTTCCCAGGGTGAAGATTATCTTCAAGGTTCTTTGTTTGCAAGAAGAGATGCTCAAACACGGAGAGGCAAGTTTGCAGGGCCCTATTCCTCTTCTAACAAATGCTTGCCTTTTGAAAGTCTTTCTTTCTGTATTAAAAAGAATAGAATATATATTCTGCCTCGAATGCGGGTGAACGCAAGTAGTCCTAGACTCAGGGGTGAGCTGTTGGGGGTTCACAGGGGTTCGGGAGAACCTCTAGGTAAGATTCTGTGTAGTTTGGAGAACCACCCCCCCAAATCCCACTCCTGGCTGGCCCCGCCCACCCCACCCCATCCCTCCCAGGAGTCCCCATGTGGTCTATTTTAGATGCAGGTAAGTGCAGGGCGTGCGCGGAGGCTCGGGGAGGCGAAAAACAGGCCTACCGTTTCTGGCCTCCAGAGGGCTTCCGGAGCCTGGGAAGGCCGTTTTCGCCCTCCCTGAGGCTCAAGGAAAGCCCTGGAGCCTGGGGAGGACAAAAACACTCCAGCCCCGCCGTGGTGCAGGAGGCTGACTAGGCCACACCCACCATAGCCACGCACATCCAGCAACTGGGCAGAGAACCCCTGGCTAAGATTTTTGAAGCCCACCTCTGCCTAGACCTACAACAGTTTTTTTAGTGACCATTCAAAATCATGATGTCACTGGAAAAAAGGGGACATCGGACTGTTTTTCATACGGATGACGGTGGCAGCATCCCCACAGCCATGTGATCAAACTGCAGATGCTTGGCAATCGAATCCTATTTATGATGGTTTCAGTGTCCCAGGGTCACGTGATGTATTAGTACCACTTTGTAAAGCCTTAGTAAAGTCACCCCTGGAATCCTGCATCCAATTTGGGTCACCACGTTACAAAAAAGATGTTGAGAGCTCGGAAAAAGTGCAGAGAAGAGCAACTAAGAAGATCAAAGCAGGGGTGAAATGTAAAATTTGTTACTACCAGTTCTGTGGGCATGGCTTGGTGGGGGGTGGGGTAATGTGACTGGGTGGGCGTGGCCAACTTTTTTTTGTTTTTACTTTTAAAAGCATTTTTTTCTACAACCTTAAGAGGTTGCAGAAAAAAATGCTTTTAAAAGCCTCTGACGATCAGGCAACTCAGCTGGGATTGTCAGAGGCTTTTAAAAGCATTTTTTCTACAACCTCTGAAGATGGGATCGTCAGAGGCTTTTAAAAGCATTTTTTTCTGAAGAGGTTGTAGAAAAAATGCTTTTAAAAGCCTCTGACGATCCCAGCTGAGCCACGCGATCATCAGAGGCTGTTTTTTTTTAATTTTAAAAGCACTTTTTCGCCCAAAGAGGTTGTAGAAAAAATGCTTTTAAAAGTTTTTTAAAAAAACCTTTCATTATTGTGTGGCTCAACTGGGCATGGTGGGGGGGCAGGGATTTTTGCTACCGGTTCTTCGAACCACCTGCCGCCATCGTTACCAGATTGGGCGATCTGGTCTGAACCAGGAGCATTTCACCCCTGGATCAAAGGCAGTGGTGGGCTTCAAAAAAAGTTACTATCAGTTCTGTGGGTGTGACTTGGTGGGCTTGGCATGGCTTGGTGGGCATGGCAGGGGAAGGATACTGCAAAATCTCCAATCTGAAAGTTTCCAGGATTTCCCCACCCAAAGGAAAGTCCAAGTCCCTGCCCAACACCCACATATCCATCATATGGTCCAATCAATCCACCGTCTTAACTGGAGATGCCTCCCAGTTCCAGCCATCCAGGTGCAAGGCAAGATGTCCTTGACTCTCTGAGAAAGGAATGTTATTATGACTACATATCACCCATGCTCCATACAATCCCCCCTCCCAGTTTCCCACAGCAATAAATGTGGCAGGCCTGAAGGTCCAATGCAAAAGATGACTTCCAGGCCTGACACCCTGACCTTCAGGGATCAATTTCTGCTGGTTCGAATCTCTCCAAGGCTCAAGGTTGACTCAGCCTTCCATCCTTTCTAAGGTAGGTGAAACGAGGACCCAGTTTGTGGGGGCAATAAGCTGACTTTGTATAAAATATACAAAAGAATGAAGGCTATTGCTTAATGCATTGTAAGCCGCCCTGAGTCTCCGGAGAAGGGCGGCATATAAATCAAATTTTAAAAAAAAATGGATCTCACCAATATTTCTGTCCCCTCCTACACAGAGAGACCATGTCATGTCCCATAGATCCCTATCAGGACACTGCCATTCTGGTCGGGAAAGGGCCTGGATGCATTCTATAGTTTATAGCCTTTTTCCTGGTGCCTATCTAACCTGTGCTTTGATTTACTTTCTTGGGAATGTAGGAGCGGGGAGGGCCATCTGTTTTGCCTCAGCTCCAGAGCCTCCAGCAAGCGACACCTGAGAGCAACGTCTGATCACTTTCTCAGCCTGCGATTGTCAAAACAACTTCGCACCTGCGGATTGGCTTATTCAACACCGGACAGAGGGGAGAGGTTTCTAACTGCTTTACCAAAGTGGCACACAGAGCCATGTCGCCTGGCACGCGTGGCATCCCCCGTTCCTCTTTTGGGTTTCTGGTACGCACGCGTGCGAAAATCATCAGGCCTTTGTCTGTGCAGCAGTGCTGGTAACTGGAAGAGCTGGTCTTCCTTTTTCCTGCATGTTCATGCTGGCCAGATGATCGTCATGTGCACAGAAACCCGGAAGACTAGCTCACCAGTGCGGTTGCACACACCGGAAACAGGAAGTTCATTTTCATGCGCGAGCATGGACAGCTCCTCTTCCGGGTTGCGACCCAGATGAGCACGCACGTCAGGGGTAGGTTCTATTTACCTTTACTACCAGTTCACAACAGGGCCATGCGCATGCTCTTCTGCATGCACAGAAACTTCCTGATGACATCCAGGTCAGTGGGCGGAGCCTCCCGCTGGTTTTACTACCGGTTCTTGCAAACCGGTCCGAACCGGGGGCAACTCACCACTGATGCACGTGCACTCCCTTTTCAGCACTCAGTGCCGAAAAGGTTCGCCATCCCTGCCCTAACAGAATTGCGCAGGGATCCTCAGATCCTGCTTCCTTTGCCTTGCTCTCACTTTTCTTCAAGAAAAGGTTCCTTTTGAAATGTCAATTGTTTCAAGAGTTCTGCTTTCTTGAACGGAGAGGAGAGGCAGTCCCAAACAGACAGACAGACAGGCAAGCAGGCAGACTTGCAAAAAGACAGTTAGACACACACAGAGGCAGAAAGACAGACAGACAGGCAAATAGAAAGACAGACACATTATGCACAGCATCGTTATCTGTGTTTCTGCCTCCTTTTTCCAGGAAAATAAAAAGCAGGGAATGAAAAGCACTGATGGAAATTGATTGATAACAGGACTGGTTTGCCATCCGTTTGGTGGTTAGAATGCAGTATCGCAGGCTGCTAATTCTGCCCTCTGCCAGCAGTTTGATCCTGACTGGCTCAAGGTTGACTCAGCCTTCCATCCTTCCGAGGTGGGTAAAATGAGGACCCAGATTGTTGGGCGGAAATATACTGACTCTGTAAACTGCTTAGAGAGGGCTATAAAAGCACTGTGAAGCAGTATATAAATCAGGGGTGGGTTCTAAATTTTTTTACTACCGGTTCTGTGGGCATGGCTTATTTTGTGGGCGTGGCTTGATGGTCATGTGACAATTCTTTAGGATTTAGCAGAGGTACTGGTCTACAGGCTTTTAACTGCTTGCAGAGCTGTACCGATCTACCCACTTATTTTTTGCAGGCACTGGTCTACCCATTTATTTTTGCAAGGACAGATCTACTCATGTATTTTTGCAGGCACTGGTCTACCCATTTATTTTTGCAGGCTCTGATCTACTCATGTATTTTTGCAGGCACTGGTCTACTCATGTATTTTTGCAGGCACTGGTCTACTCATTTGTTTTCTTTTAACACTGATCAGCTGTAGGGCGGCCCTTTGAAGCCCCACGGCAAGAGTTTAAACAGTTTTTTTCCCTCTAGCCATCAGCTGGGACTCAGGAGGCAGCAATAGATTGGAGGGTGGGGCCAAATAAAAGGTAAGAATAACGCGGGGGATGGGGGGCGTGGAGGGGGCGGGGGGGCAGAACCGGTTCGGTGACATCATATCGTCACCACTACCGGCTCGTGAGAACCTGGCCGAACCGGGAGGAACCCACCACTGATATAAATCTAAGTGCTATTGCTATCTTCCTTCCTTCCTTCCTTCCTTCCTTCCTTCCTTTATTCATTCATTCATTCCCTTCACAGTGGTTAGAATGCAGTATTGCAGGCTAACTCTGCCCACAAGTCAGGAGTTCGATCCTGACCAGCTCAAGGTTGACTCAGCCTACCATCCTTCCGAGGTGGGTAAAATGAGGACCCAGATAGTTGGGGACAATAGGCTGACTCTGTAAACCACTTAGAGAGGACTGTAAAGCACTGTAAAGCAGTATATAAGTCTAAGTGCTATTGCTATCTCCTTACCAGTATCGTCAGTGAATAACGTTAGCAAAGGAATGGCATTTTGCACAGTTCGACGTCTCGCGAAAATAATAAGGGGGGAAAAAACACCACATGCAAATCTGGTTTCTTGGTCATTCCAACATTTTATTCTCCAGAATACTTTTAACTAAACATTTTTGATGATCAAAACTTGGGTCAGGCAACTGACAGCAAATGGGCCCCTTGTTGGGGTTTTGAATCTATTTTTTTTTTTTAAAAAAAACGGAGAAAAATTTCTACCTGTGATTTACATTCAGAAAATGGAATTTTGCAACATTCCTGCCTCAGGTGTGTGTGTGAGGGATGGGTGAGGGGTGGAAATCAAATCAAATCCATTTTTGATTTTCTAAATCCATTTGATTTAGAAATGGATCCCGTTTTAAAAGGGGAAAAGCAGGAACCAGAATGCTGTTTTTGTTAAGAATCAGGATAAATCTAGTATTTACGAAGGAGGAACATGCTACAACAGGTAATCCTCGACTTATGACCACAACGGGGACAGAGTTTCTGTTGCCAAGGAAGGTTGTCGTTAAGTGAGTTCTGCCTTTTTTTGCCACGGTTGTTAAGTGAACCAGCCAGTCATTAAGCAAATCTGGTTCCCCCCCCCAGTGACTCGACTTATCGGAAATCAGCTAGGAAAGTTGCAAATGACGATCACATGACCCAAGTCACATGGCCCGGATCACATGACACACACACACACACCCCAGGATGGTACATCCATTATAAATACATCCTGGTTGCCAAGCGCCTGGATTTTAATCACACAACTGTGAGGATGCTGCCACAGTCATAAGTGCGAGGACCCATTGTAAGTCACTATTTTTAGGACCACTTATAACTTTGACCCGCTACTAATCGAATGGTTGTAAGTTAAGGAGTACTGTATTGTTCCCCGCAATTATTCCTTTTCTCCGATATTCAGACACGGGGAGATTTAAAAATAAACCTTTTAAAATGTTTCCACTTTGGGTAAGCAGATGACCCTGAAAATATATTTCTCGATGAAGTTAGAATTATTCTGGCACAGCTGCTTTGCTTTCCTGCCTTCCCCCCCCCGCCCCCCTCTTTTTCTCTAATTATCCCTGAAATATTACAAAATACTTTCCTTTTAATTTCTTGTCAGAAAGGGATTGTTTAAAAAAAAGAAGAAGAAGATTTTTTGCAATTAAAAAAAAAAGGTAAGCTTTTGCAAGAACCTTAACTGCTGCCCTCGGCTGCCCTCACAAGGATTCAGATTTCTACTTTAAGCAAAACAATAGCAAATGGCCAAGAGGGGGGGAAAAAAATCAACATTGAAAATGTCTGCAAGCTTTCAGAAAGGACAGGACGTCAATCCTAAGAACCGTCATCTTCCTTGCATTTCAATAATGCAAAACGGAGATTCCAGTGTGAGGTTTGGTGGACGGTTTACTCACAAAGTAAGGCCAAGGGATCTCCTCTCCTAGGTCAACGTTGCCTTCGTTCGTTTCGTCACACAAGGAAAGAAGTGATGGCATGCCTGGCTTTTTAAAAGGGCTTCATTCATTGCTTAAGAGCTGCTTTTGACAGTAGGAAGACCAGTCGAGATTGAGTTGGCCATCGAGGGACCCAAACCCCTACCCTGAAATCCATCCTCCGGCTTCTCTCGAGAAGAAGTTGAACAGAAATTTCTTTTTCCCTTGCTTAGAGGGAACTGCAAGAGGATGGGTTGTTTTTTTTTTTTCGTGCAGCAGAGTCCAACCCAAAAAAGTTCAGGGGGGGGAAGGAGGAAGGAAGGAAGGAAGGAAGGAAGGAAGGAAGGAAGGAAGGAAGGAGAGAAGGAGAAGGAGAGGAAGAGGAAGAGGAAGAGGAGGAGGAAGAGGAAGAGGAGGAGGAGGAGGAGGAGGAGAAGGATAGGGGGAAAGAAGGAAGGAAGGAAGGAATAAGGAAGGAAGGGAGGAAGGAAAGAAGGAAGAAAGGAAAGGAAGGAAGAGAAGGAGGAGGTGGAGAAGAGGAGGAGGGAGGGAGGGTGGGAGGGAGGAAGGAAGGGAGGGAAGGAAGGTGGGATAGGGGAAAACAAGGAAAGAGGGAAGGAAGGAATAAGGAAGGAAGGGAGGGCAGGAGGGAGGAAAGAAGGGAAGAGGAGGGGGAGGAGGGAGGGAGGATAGGGGGAGGGAAGGAAGGAAGGAATAAGGAAGGAAAGAAAGGAAAGGAAGGAAGAGAAGGAGGAAAGAAGGGAAGAGGAGGAGGGAGGGAGGGAGGAAGAAAGGAAGGAAGGAAGGAAGGAAGGAAGGAAGGAAGGAAGGAAGGAAGGAAGGAATATTCCTTCAAGTCATTTTAAACAGTTCCCTCTTACTCTGACAGGCATGCCATCAAAGGGTGCTGATGTGTGTTTATTTTTATTGCATACATTGGAATGGACAAGGACGTCTACAATGAAAGACCAAAAAATTAGAATGAAACCCAACATAACGTTCATTTGTCAACCCTGTCACCTTCTTAAAAAGTTTATCCTTGGAAGACATTCTTCATGCACCCAACCGTCTCCGGCTCTCCCAAATTTGGGGAACCAAGAAGACCCTCTCAATCTTGTGGGAGATGTTGAAGTTTAGATATCAATTTCGAGATCAGACAATCTGGTTCCCCTGGCAACTCTAAGACATTCTTTCCTTCTGGAACATTGCACAGGCATCCACTCATCCTTGGCCTGATTCTTGGCATCCAACGAGAAAGAAACTAAAGGGAAGATGCACCGCCATGCACACGCTTTTAAAAATAATTCCCCTCAAATGTAAACTGAACCGCTGAACCAAAGCACATCAGCCAGTATCATCAGTGGAGGAGAAGAGCATAGCTAAGACATCTAATCAATCTTCTATGGATTTTCTCTCTCTCTCTCTCTCTCCTCTTTTCTTCTGCAATTTGAACAACCAGCAGGAGGAGGAGAAATTGGGATGATGGGCAATTCACGGAGCCTTTCAGCTATAGGTTCACCGCCGTCACCTGACTAGCAGCCAGAGGGGAGCAGTTAATATCTAGTGCACTTTTTCGATTCTTTGATTCCAAAGCAATGGATGGAAACTGAACAAAGAGAGAAGCAACCTAAAACTAAGGAGAAACTTTCTGACGGTAAGAACAATCAACCAGTGGAACAGCTGGTCTTCAGAAGTTATGGGTGCTCCATCACTGGAGGCTTTCAAAAAGGGGGATGGACAACCACTTGTCGAAAATGGTATAGGAGATTGAACTAGAAGACTTCCAAGTCTTCTACTCTGTTATTCTCTTATACTATGTCAAAGCAGATGGCCTTGGAACGGTGTCGGCCAACCAAGTCTCCATTAATGTCAGCAACAGTTGGACCTGCAGCTAGAAGTGGGCTGCTAAAGTCACAGTTTTAAGCAGCAGCTCGTTTGCTTAAACCCAATGTATCTTGGGAATACGCTGAGTACACACTGGCAAGGCATTAGTAAGAGCAAAGCAGTTACGCGAGGAAAGGGGAATTCATTAGTCAACCAACATCTATCTGGAGTGAAGTTACTCCTCATGGATGGCTCGAAAAGAGCACGGTGGGACCCATTTCCGCCCAGGATGAGATGTACATCCTTTCCTCTAATCCACCCACCCTTCCCCCACTTAAAAAAGAAAGAAAGAAAGAAAGAAAGAAAATTAGGACAATTTGATTAATACAATAGCGGGAATATCCATGGACATTCTTGTTAGTTGTCTTCCTCTTCCACCATCGTCTTGCTCAGGGGGCTTCATTGGAAGTGACGCCATTGCCCTTGTTGACGTAGAAGGGGCGGTAATGAGACTGGATGGAGAAAGCAGAGGAAGAGAGCAGTGAGCGGGCTGGCCTTCACTGAGCTCCATCAACTTATGTTTGTCTGGTACTAATTATGCCTGCGGAATAGAACGGAATAGACTCCTTGCCAAGTGTCGTGAAAGCATTAAAAGGAGAGTGCTGTAGTTGGAGCAACTTTGTGGTAAGAACAAACTGACATCGTGTCTTGTTTTTGAATGGGCTGGCCTTCACCGCTGGCGACCCCAATTTTGTTTTTCTACTTCCTGAATCATATTAGCTAAACACATTTCTTCTGTCAAACTAAGAAAGCCATGTGTTTCTTTTTATCTAAAAAATATTAATTTTTGCCTGTTATCTCTTGTTCTCTATCTATCATCTATCTATCTATCTATCTATCTATCTATCTATCTATCTATCTATCCAAGGGATGTGATGGCTCAGTGGCTAAGATGCTTAGCTTGTCGGCAGTTCAGCAGTTCGAATCCCTAATGCTATGTAACAGGGTGAGCTTGTCCCAACTTCTGCCAACCTAGCAGTTTGAAAGCACGTAAAAAATGCAAGCATAGCTGGCTGGAGAATTCTGGGAGTTGAAGTCCACAAGTCTTAAAGCTGCCAAGTTTGAAGACCTCTGCTCCAGGCAAATGGATCTACTTCCAAATGAAGCTCTGGTCTAGCCTCACTTTCCATTTGGCTTTTCTAAGAGCACTTTTGGGGTCCCTGTAAATCCAAGAGGCATGGCCTAAATCCTCAGTGCTTCCTGCAGCCCCTCAACAGCCCAATCACGGTCTCCAGAAATCTCCTGGTGGCAGATTCCAAATTGTAAATTGTGAATGAGAGAGAAGGCGGAGTTATTAAATGCATGGCTGGAGAGTAATCACATGGACTATATTATTTTTAATTAAATTTAAAGGTTAAGGAAATGAAGTCCATTTCATTTTTGCCTTGATTTCCTCCCACCCAGCCCCCAGGACTCTAGCAACTCCTCTGCTGCCCCTTAAAAAAATTAGTCGAAGCAGTTTCTTGTAGAGCAAAGAGATGATAGATGCTGGGATGAGCTTCGTACATTTTAAAATTAATACTGTTGTTGTTTCTAATGCCAGGTTCCAACAAATCAAATCTGAAAGGGTCTCATTAAAAATTTAAATTACATTTGGTCCCCAATTTATTTCTTTTCGCAATTCTGAGCTGATGCAAATCTTTCTTTCAGGAGAACATGGCTCAAACCAAGGAATATCCTGTCATTAAAGGAGAATATTTGTAGCCCAGGGTTCAAATGAGGTGTCTGAGCAGGGGTGAAATCCAGAAGGTTCTAACAGGCTCTGGAAAACTGGTAGCGGAAATTTTGAGTAGTTCGAAGAACCGGTAGCGGAAATTTTGAGCAGTTCAGAGAACCGGTAGCGGAAATTTTGAGTAGTTCAAAGAACTGGTAGCGGAAATTTTGAGTAGTTCGGAGAACTGGTAGCGGAAATTTTGAGTAGTTCAAAGAACTGGTAATGGAAATTTTGAGCAGTTCAGAGAACCGGTAGCGGAAATTTTGAGCAGTTCAGAGAACCGGTAGCGGAAATTTTGAGTAGTTCGGAGAACTGGTAGCGGAAATTTTGAGTAGTTCAAAGAACTGGTAACGGAAATTTTGAGCAGTTCAGAGAACCGGTAGCGGAAATTTTGAGTAGTTCAAAGAACCGGTAGCGGAAATTTTGAGTAGTTCAAAGAACTGGTAACGGAAATTTTGAGCAGTTCAGAGAACCGGTAGCGGAAATTTTGAGTAGTTCAAAGAACCGGTAGCGGAATTTTTGAGCAGTTCAGAGAACTGGTAGCGGAAATTTTGAGTAGTTCAAAGAACCGGTAGCGGAATTTTTGAGCAGTTCAGAGAACCGGTAGTGGAAATTTTGAGTAGTTCGGAGAACCGGCAAATACCACCTCTGGCTGGCCCCAGAGTGGGGTGGGAATGGAGATTTTGCAATATCCTTCCCCCAGGAGGAGAGGGAATGGAGATTTTGCAGTATCCTTCCCCTGGAGTGGGATGAGAATGGAGATTTTGCAATATCCTTCCCCTGCCATGCCCACCAAGCCACGCCCACAGAACTGTTAGGAAAAAATTTGGTTTTCACCCCTGGATCTGAGTTTGTTTTTTATTTTTTTCATCATCCAAACTAGGTAACATTATCGGTGCTTTGATGATGTTACCTAGTTTGGGTAAAAAAAACGTCTGCGAGAAAACACCCAAACTTGGAGAGCACCGAGGAATATGCTGTCAGTCTAAAGAAATGTATGCCCTGCCCTCAATTATACACGACATTGGCACAATTTTGTCCCTTAAATACAGGGGGGGGGGTTGGTGCCATCAGCAATATGACCCCTCCCTGTTTCGACATGGATTGTGACATCCCATGATGACAAAAGGGTGAACTCCTATGGACATCACCACGCCCAGCACCTCTTCAGCTCATTCCCAAGTGCCGATGAGACAGTTTTAAGTCATCTTTACTTGTACTGTTGCTTTCCCTTTTCTTCCGGCACCATCCAAGAAGTTCTAGACATCTTGAAGGGGTCTAGGATCTGTTAGGCTTTATCCCCAATTCCTTCCTAGCGGGAGTCTCCAAATCTGGCAACTTTAAGCCTTGTGGGCTTCAGCTCCCAGAATTCCTCAGCCGAATTCCAGAATTCCACAAGTCTTAAAAATGGCCAGATTTGGAGACCCCTGCCTTAAAGCCATGAGAACGGATCTACGATAGGTTTTACACCAGAACCTGCCTTTTTGGACACTCCTTCCAAAGGTTAACTCCTCAACCTGGCTGAAGCTCCAGGAAGTTTTGTAACTAGTTGACAAACTAGTAAAACAAACGACTTTTTAATAACCCTTAATGGGCTAATTTCTCTCTGGCTGGACTGCTGGAATTCACATTTACAGATCTTACCTTAAGAATACATATTACTCAACTGTGTACCTACTATAAGTGGTTTTAAAAGCCCGGTGGTTTAGCCCAGCAGTCTACCCAAAGCTTCTGCCAGCTATGTAAAATCCAGTTCAAGTGTGTTTTGTCTAGGAACGCTTAATGTTGTTTATTTATTCATCTGATTGTTTGCTGTGGTGTCTAACTGGGGAATATAAATGGACTTTTCGAAGACTGAGTAGCCCTTCTGAATATTGACAAAGCTAGTGCATTTTGTCCGTTCTTTACAGGAATAAGGTAAGGTTGGGGGAAAAAATTCTGCTGGAATGCAGAATAGACATAATGGGATGGGCAGACACTGCCTTCCACAAGAAGTTGCTCTTGGTTTGATTTGCCACCAACCTGAACAGGTAAATTTCCAGCAGAATAGGTAAAGATTCCCCTCGGACATATGTGCTAGTCATTCCTGACTCTAGGGGGCGGTGCTCATCTCCGTTTCAAAGCCGAAGAGCCAGCGCTGTCCGAAGACGTCTCCGTGGTCATGTGGCCGGCATGACTCAACGCCAAAGGTGCACAGAACGCTCTTACCTTCCCACCAAAGGTGGTCCCTATTTTTCTACTTGCATTTTTTTACGTGCTTTCGAACTGCTAGGTTGGCAGAAGCTGGGACAAGTAACGGGAGCTCACCCCGTCACGCGGCGCTAGGGATTCAAACCGCTGAACTGCAGACCTTTTGATTGACAAGCTCAGTGCCTTAGCCACTGAGCCACCGCATCCCTTTTCCAACAGAATAAAAAAAATATTATTATTTTTGCATATTTCAGAGGTCAGATATGCTGGCAAGCGGAAGCTCAGAATACATTAGAGCAGTATTTCTCAACTTCTGCCATTTTAAGATATGTGGACTTCAACTCAGAGAATTCCCCAGCCAGTGGGGAATTCTGGGAGTTTGAAGTCCACACAGCTTAAAGTAGCTAAGATGGAGAAACTCTGCACTAGAGTCACAGTGTAGCAGAAGATGTTTAAATCCCTTTCGTATTTTCTGCTGTTTCTTAAGGATGCTTAATCCTTGTTAATCATTTTCTCGAAATCCTAAACCTCTCTCTGACTACAATTTCTCCCTTAGAGACGGGTGAGTGAAATGCATTGGAGAATAAATCTCAGGGCGAGGAACTGCCCTTATGGCTGGAGGAGAAGTACAGGCAGTCCTTGACTTATAAAGATTCATTCAGCGACCGTTCAAAGTTACGACGGTTGCACCATCTGCAATCTTCCCAGCTGGCTTCTCACAAGTAAGAGAGCCAGTTTGGCCTAGAGGTTAAGGCGCTAGGCTAGAAAGTGGGAGACTGTGAGTTCAAGTCCTGCATGAGCCATGAAAACTAGCTGGGGTGACTTTGGGCCAATCACTAGGAGGCCGTGAGTTCTAGTCTTGCTTCAGGCATGTAAGCTGGCTGGGTGATTATGGACCACTCACCATGAGTTCTAGTTCCATTTTAGCCATGAAAGCCACTTAGTGACTTTGAGCCAATCACAAGGAGATTGGGAGTTCTAGTCCTGCCTTACCTATGAAAGCCAATTGGGTGACTTTGAACCAATCACAAGGAGACTGGGAGTTCTAGTCCTGTCTTAGCTATGAAAGCCAATTGGGTGACTTTGAATCAATCATAAGGAGACTGGGAGTTCTAGTTCCACTTTAGCCATGAAAGCCACTTAGTGACTTTGAGCCAATCACAAGGAGATTGGGAGTTCTAGTCCCACTTTAGTCATGAAAGCCAACTGGGTGACTTTGAACCAATCACCAGGAAACCGGGAATTCTAGTCCCGCTTTAGCCGTGAGAGCCAGCTGGGTGACTTTGGGCCAGCCGTTTTCTCTCAGCCTGACCCACCTCAACAGAGTTGTTGTTGTTTTGGGGAAAAATGGGAGGAGGAAGATGTGGTTGGATATCTTTGATGCCTTATTTGTAAAAATAATAAAGGCGGGATATAAATAAATAAAAGAATGATAAAGAAGTCAACGAAGGAAGCCTGGTGTCAGCATTCTGATGCTGTCATAAAAAGATGAGGCTTGACTTTTCACCTACTTATTTTCTCTGTAGATAATATCCCCTAGGAGATGGGATGGGAGGGGGGAACATTCCTGTGGGGTGAGGTCAGAAGCTGGGGAGACTGACTTGGAAGATGGCCAATGAGAAGATGAGAATTGGGGAATGGAAAGGGAAGGGTTTGGGGGTCAGAGGGTTAGTATCGGCTACGACGAAGTCGGGGCCAGATCTGTCGTACTCAATAAATGGAATATTTCAGCAAAGATTAATTGTTTGGGAGTGCAATTTATTTGAGATGACATCGAAACCTGACACCTGGATTTGTTTAACAACCATATGATTCATTTAACAAATGCAGGGACTTACCAGCATGCTTTGCTTGGAAGATTTCCATGTCTGCGGCTGTGCCTTAGCCGTCTGGTGCCTCACGATGGAAGGATAGGCTGAGAGGGAGACAGAAGGCAGCTTTGGTTACTTCCAAAAATGTGCTTTCTCAGCCGCACCGTTGTGCTTCGCTGAAGTTAGCAAAGTCAAGCAATCCCGAAACACAGGAGCTTTTGAGCTGACTGGTATCCAGGTAGTCCTCGACTTACAACCATTCGTTTAGTGACTGTTCAAAATGACAACCTGAGAAAAGTGACAGGTCCTCGCACTTGCGACAGTATTGCGGTATCCCCACAGCCATGTGCTCAAAATTCGGGCGCTTAGTAGCCAGCATGTGTTTATTTCCACGGTCCTTGCCCTTACAACCATTTCAGCATCCTGCGGTTACATGATCGCCATTACCAACCTTGCTTTCAACAAATAAGATCCTGTTGTGGTCCGCCAGCAGCCTGCGGAGCTGGTAGCGGAGTCGGACAGTGAGGAGGCTGAGGAAGAACGTGGGCCAGTCCTGGAGGCTGGGGAAGGCCTGGATGAGGGCTCTGCGTCGGAGGCAGAGATGGAGCCAGGGCCATCGGGGAGTGATGTGCGAACTCCGGAGCCTCCAGAGGCTGACAGCAGAGAGGCAGAGGAACAGGTGGAGCCTGTTCCTAGTGCACGCATGAGAAGAGCTGCCAGAAGGCAAGAGCAGCTAAAGCAAAAAGGACGACTCAGGAGTAAGGCCAAGAGACGATTGGCCCCTCCCATAAGGCTTAAAAGACCAGCAACAGCTCTTGGGCTCTTTGTCGGAAAACAACGTTGATAGATTTCTTTCTGCTCTTGCTGCATTTATTTCTTGTTGGCGTCTTCTGCTTCTGAACTTTTGCCAAGAAAAACCTTTGGCAGGTTGCCTAATTATACCAAGGTTGGTGATTAGACTGAAGAATTTGTGTTATGAAGAATTTGTTTTGAATTAGTTTGGACTACGCTGAGAATTGAGTTAATTCTCAGCTGTTCTAATAAAGTCTGTTTGTTTTCGAACTGATTGCGTCTGATAATACCTACTTGGGCCTGGGTCACAACAGATCCATGGGAGAAGCCGGATTGGCTTAATGATGGTCTGATTCTCTTAAAAACCACAGTGATAACGGTGGCAAGGAAGGTCGTAGAATTGGGCGCGACTCATTTCTCAACTGCCATGCTTAGTATCGGAGATTGTGGTCCCCATTCTGATCGTACATTATTTTTAATTTTCATTTCTCCAGTTTTCTGAAAACTCAAACAAACAGGCCTTCCAACACGTAAAAGCATATGGATGAAGTCTATGTAGCCATTCAGCTATTGCTGAAAATAATAAGTTGGAAGGGACCTTGGAGGTCTTCTAGTCCAACCCCCTGCTTAGGCAGGAATCCCTTCACCATTTCAGACAAATGGTTATCCAACATCTTCTTAAAAACTTCCAGTGTTGGAGCATTCACAGCTTCTGGAGGCAAGTTGTTCCACTGATTAATTGTTCTCACTGTCGGGAAATTTCTCCTTAGTTCTAAGTTGCTTCTCTCCTTGATTAGTTTCCATCTATTGCTTCTTGTCTTGCCTTCTGGTGCTTTGGAGAATAGCTTGACTCCCTCTTTCTTTGGGGCAGCCCCTGAGAGACTGGAACCCTGCTATCATGTCACCCCTAGTCCTTCTTTTCATCAGACTAGACATACCCAATCCCTAAGTCAATTGTGGTTGTAAGTTGAGGAGCTACCTGTAGAAACAAACGGAGAGGAAAAGACAAGATAGGAAGGAAGGAAGGAAGGAAGGAAGGGGCTAATGGAAGTAGAAGCCCTGAAATACCATTCTTAGTATAGAGGCTGCTGTCAGACTGCTTGCTGAAATCACCGGGTGAGCTCTGGCCAATTGGGGGAAACTGATATGGCATCTTGGTTCCATTGCCAACTGGAAAATAGAAGAAGCAACATAATCGTGAGATGGGTAGAATCCTCCAAGCTTCCCAGCCCGTTGGGCATGATCTCCAAGGGCTGAATCAAGAAGACTGATTGATGATTGATTGTTTGATTCAATTTGTATGCCGCCCATCTCAGGGGCGAATTTTGGGTTGACAAATCCCAGAATCCACATCAGGAGAAGATTGAGGAATGGCCAAGTCTGGCATGAGGACCACCATATAAGGAAGCAAGTTCCTTATCTATATATTTAAGCAGGTTGGAGCACTGAAGATCTTAACCTGCTACGTCAGGAAGAGGAAAAATTGAACACCTGAACTCCATAGAGATCAGGAAACCGTGGTGGTGGTGGGAGGGGAAATATCCATCCCTTCGAAATTTTGGGGTTTCCATTGGCATAAGCCCAGATGCCAAGTTCTCCTCAAATTTTCCAGGGTCCCCGAATTTGTACCTATATTCCTGCAAAGATGTCAACTGATAAATATTACATTAACTCGTCTTTTTGTTTTGAAAAGAAAAGAAACCCAGCAACTAATCAGGTCCAATGTTGTTCTTGCTTATTTGAATAATGGGACTATTGTTCTCGTAATAATAATAATTAACATCATATTGAAGTCTTCTAAAAAGCCCTGATCCCTTTTTTTTTTTGGAGAGGAAAAAACAGATGTTACAAAGGCAACTCATCAGCTCAAAACATGCTGTTTTTTGGAAATATTCTTTTTGTCCTCAATTGAAAGGTCTTAGGCAGAGGACAAACAGGCTGTGCCAAGCTTGCCCTGGCTGGCTCTTTTGATTGAAGTTTTGACATGGTGCAAAGTTGGATGTGAAATTGTGCTGAAGTGGTCTCTCTGTGTGTGTGTGTTTCTCTCTCTCTCTCTCTCTCTCTCTGTTTCCCTCTGTGTGTGTTTTTCTCTCTCTGTGTGTGTGTGTGTATCTCTCTCTCTCTCTCTCTTTCTCTCTGTATTGATCTTTCTCTGTGTATGTGTGTCTGTCTGTCTCTGTCTGTCTCTGTCTTTCTTTCTCTGTATCGATGTTTATCTGTGTCTGTCTGTCTCTCTGTGTGTGTCTGTCTCTCTGTCTCTCTCTTTCTCTCTCTGTGTGTGTCTCTGTCTTTCTCTGTCTCTGTCTCTCTGTCTCTGTCTTTCTCTGTCTCTGTCTCTCTGTCTCTGTCTTTCTCTGTCTCTGTCTCTCTGTCAGGGGAAGGATACTGCAAAATCCCCATTTCCTCCAGATCAGCTGGGACTCGGGAGGCAGAGAATAGATGGGGGCGGGGGCCAGTCAGAATTTTTACTACCGGTTCTCCGAACTACTCAAAATTTCCGCTACCGGTTCTCCAGAACTGGTCAGAACCTGCTGAAACCCACCTCTGATACCCATACATGGTGAACCAGTAGTAACATAATGTGTAACCCACCTCTGACCTCAGGTGACCATCTCTGTTGCTAAGGAAACACACAACCTATTAACAATATTTCTCAACCTCAGCATCTTTTAAGATATGTGGACTTCAACTCCCAGAAGCCCATGCTCTAACTACTCTCGTAACCTATTGGTCCGAATTCAATCCCATTTGGTTTGTGCTTTACATTGTGATGCATTTACACAGTTCTGACAGAGGGGAAAGTAGACCACAAAACAGTTATAGACCTGGGCACAGAAGCAAAGTTTGAAGGAAAGGTGGAAACCTTCCAAAAGGATGGACAAAACTCGAGATGAGGCATGACAAATTACCTTTCAGGGAGAACGCCGAGTTCCCGCTTGCAATCGTCTCTTCGGCAGTTTGCATGGAAGAAAACTCCCAACCTCGGGTGTTGTAATTCCCTCCTAAATTTCCTCCTAAATTTCCTCCTAAATTTCCTCCTAAATGAAAAGAATTCAGGCCAGACAGCAGTCAGCAAGACAGGTGAGGTTGTTCTGGAGTCATCATTGAAACAACGGTAAGCAGGAGATTGGCAGGAGAGAATTGATTCTCTGGGGAAGGAATTTTGTTCAGAAAATATTTTTTCCCCCCATCATGGTTTCCTCTGAGTGGACATTTAATGACTCACTCATGGTTTATACCTTGGTCCAATTAGGTGGAGCACTTATATTGTGGAAGACAGAAATAGACCAGTCAAGATGCTTTTGGGTAAAGAAATTGGAGAATTGTCTCTGTTTAAAATATTTAGCCTATCTATTTACCGCATTTTTCAGAGTATAAGATGCACCTTAGCTTTTGGGGAGGAAAATAAGAAAAAACTGATTGGCGGGTGGATCGATCTCTTGGAATACCGCCAATCAGCTGTTCCCAGAGGTGAATTTTAGCAACAGGTTCTTTGGTTGTGAGCTCTGTGCCTTGCTCTTTTTTTTCCTTTTTTTTTCTGCCTCTGAAACTTCTGAAACTCTGTTTCAGAAAAAACTTTTTTTCTGCCTCTGAAAGCCTCTGAAAAAAAGCCTCTGAAGCTCTATTTTTGAGGCTTTTTTTCTGAAGCTCTGTTTGGGGGCTTTTTTTTCCTGAAGCTTCGTTTCTGATGCTTTTTTCAGCCTCTGAAAGCATCCAAAACAGAGCTTCAGAAAAAAGCCTCTGAAACTCTGTTTCTGAGGCTTTTTTTCTGAAGCTCTGTTTGGAGGCTTTTTTTCTGAAGCTCTGTTTGGAGGCTTTTTTTTCTGAAGCTTCGTTTCTGATGCTTTTTTCAGCCTCTGAAACCTCCATTTGAGAAGCTGGGTGGGGCTACATTCGGAGTATAAGACGCACCCAGATTTTCACTGTCTTTTGTGGGGGGAAAGGTGTGTCTTATCCTCCGAAAAATACGGTAATCATGTCTTGCAGAGGAAGTGAAGAGATTCAAGTTCTCCTCTCCTGGTTCTTAGTCTGGGGAAACTGGAGCAAAGTTTTGCTTCAGATCAAAGTCAGGAAGGAGAAAACCATCTCCAAAAACCCAAAGTGAACAATTAATTGGGTAGGTTGTGTAGAAGGGGCGGTCTTTGTTACCTTTTGGAGACAAGAACATGGAAAACCTCTTCAGGTTATCTGGCTGGTTCCAGTCGGAAAAGTTGTTCATCATGAAACGGTGGTCGCCTACAAAACGAGGACACCAAAGAAAAAATCGTAGTTGTCAAGAGAAAGATTACACAGCAACCACAAAATGAGAAGGATTAGGTGTAGCATTGTAAAAGCAGGGCAATTTGTATTTCTTAGCTAAGATGGAGCTCCTCCTGCATGTGGAAATCTAAGGTCAACAGTTGATGTTGGGTCATCAATGGGCAAGATGGGCGTGGACAGCCTTCAGAACTTATGGGTGCTCCATCACTGGAGGCTTTTAAGAAGAGACTGGACTGCCACTTGTCTGGAATGGTATAGGTCTCCTCAATGGTGGGATTCAGCCAGTTTGCACCACTTCGGGAGAACCGGTTGTTAACTTTCTGAGCAGTTTGGTGAACTGGTTGTTGGAAGAAATCATAAGGGTAGAGAACCGGTTGTTAAATTATTTGAATCCCACCACTGCATCTCCTGCTAGAAGACCTCCAAGGTCCCTTCCATCTCTCTTATTCTGTTATTCTGGCTGTTTAGTCCCATGTAACGCCTCTCCTGTGCGAGCTGCACTGGCTCCCGATGGTCTTCCGAATGCGCTTCAAGGTTTTGGTTATCACCTTTAGAGCGCTCCATGGCTTAGGGCCTGGTTATTTACGGGACCGCCTGCTACCACCAATAGCCTCCCACCGACCAGTACGATCCCATAGAGAGGGGCTCCTCCGGGTGCCGTCGGCCAAACAATGTCGACTGGCGGCCCCCAGGGGGAGGGCCTTCTCTGTGGGGGCACCTACGATCTGGAACGAGCTCCCCCCGGAGATACAGAGGATCCCGGATCTGTGCACCTACGTCGCGTGCTCAAGACGTTTTTATTTCATCAAGCTGGCCTGACCTAAGTTTTTTTCCCCTTTTTAAATGGAAATTTTAAATTTGGTTTTAAATTATTGGGGTTTTAAATTTCTCAGCCAAATTATTCAATCTGTTTTATTCTATTTTAAATTTTGTATTGATATGTTTCATTCTATGGCTGTTCACCGCCCTGAGTCCTTCGGGAGTAGGGCGGTATACAAATTCAATAAAATACAAATTTAATAAAATGAAAAGCGTCCCAATCAGTACAAACAAAGGTGGCAAGTTAACCATGAAGAGAACCAAGCGTTACTTGTTCAAACTTCAGCGGGCAGAGGTTGGCGTGAGACTGCAGAAATCTCATTGGAAGCTGACATTTTATAGTTTGACCTGTGGTTGAGATCGTCAAGCAACCCCCAACAGATGCCTCCTTCCGGTGCTTTTCCTGCTGTTGCAACTCAGATGGTAGGAAGTTATCACCTTTGGGCATCGCCCATTGAATTCAACCAGTATGAAAATTGCAATGTAGTTGTCTTTAAATGAGATGCCAATTAAAAGAGACGAATATTAAGATCTTTTCTTTTTCCCCTTGTGGGCAGAAGTGGGTGAGGTAAGCAGGGTGTTGTGATAGCTGGGTGTGGCAGATTATAATGTAGAAGAGAATATTTGTAGCTTTGGGTCGAACGATGGTGCTCTGTGAGCTTTGGTGTTTTCTTGCAGATGTTTCGTAACCCAACTGGGTCATATTGTCAGTGCTAGAAGGAAGTGGGGTTTGCTCTCTACACCATTCAAAAAAAGACAATCAAAAAGCTGGAAAGAAAGAAAAAAAAGAGAGACCAAAACATCTCCTGAGCAGGAATCAACATCTGCATAAACACGGATTAACGCCAAGATTAATACTAGGCAACAAACAGTAAACAGTAACCCAATCAAGGAAATACCAACTCAGACTAACACTCAAACATTAAATTACAGCCTAATCAAAGAACCAACAAGAACACTTGCACCAACACTGACAGGGGAAGTCACTAGTATGTAAACAGAGAGAAAATCACACTCCCTCCTAGTACTGATGATATTCCCTAGTTGGGTCATGAGACATCTGCAAGAAAACAACCAGATTCAGAAAGCACCTAGGACCTCACAGTATTCCTCCTCCTCCTCCTCCTCCTCCTCCTCCTCCTCCTCCTCCTCCTCCTCCTCCTCCTCCTCCTCCTCTTCCTCCTCCTCCTCCTTTTCCTTCTTCTTCTCCTTCTCCTCCTCCTTCTCCTCCTCCTCCTTCTCCCTGCACACCCCACTTTCTTCTAGCACTGATGATGTTACCTAGTTGGGTAATGAGACATCTGCAAGAAAACAACCAGACTCAGAGAGCACCAAGGACCCCACAGTCCTCTTTTTCCTCCTCCTCCTCCTCCTCCTCCTCCTCCTCCTCCTCCTCTCCTCTTCCTCTCCTCCTCCTTCTCCTCCCTGCACACCCCACTTCCTTTTATCACTGATGATGTTACCTAGTTGGGTAATGAGACATCTGTAAGAAAACTATTCAGCTCAGAGAGCACCAAGGACCCCACAGTTCTCTTTTGCCTCCTTTTCCTTCTCCTTCTCCTTCTCCTTCTCCTTCTCCTTCTCCTTCTCCTTCTCCTCCTCCTCCTCCTTCTCCTCCTTCTCCTCCTCCTTCTTCTCCTTCTCCTTCTCCTCCTCCTTCTTCTCCTTCTCCTCCTCCTTCTTCTCCTTCTCCTCCTCCTTCTTCTCCTCCTCCTCCTCCTCCCTGCATACCCCACTTCCTTCTAGCACTGATGATGTTCCCTAGTTGAGTAATGAAACGTGTAAGAAAACTATCCAGCTCAGAGAGCACCAAGGATCACCACTGTTCAACCCTGAGCTACAAATATTCTCTTCTACAGTTTTGTCCTTGTTGTTAGGATGAAAATGTCAAGGTTATTTTCATTGTTGAAAATGCTACACATGCCCAAAAGCAGTCGTGTCCAGGGAAGGAGAGATCAAAATTTTACAAAATGCCAAGCACAGTGTTGTGTTCCGAATCCTGGTTTTTTGTTTACGCAGCAAACATTGCACACAGGGACAAGTGGGGGGGAGAGAGATTCTGTCACACTGCTGCACCTGCCATTGTGCCGATGTTGACCTCTTTGCAGAAACTCATGGCGCACAAAAATATTAGCCAAATAGATAAAGAAATATACATTATAAATTGGGCTGTGGGTCTGAGCTTCAAGCTCGGAGCTCAGACCCACAGCCCAACTGCCAAACCGAGCTACTAACATTCAAATACATTTCATACAATACAAATATCAGGTTATTTTCCCTTCCCTGCCTAATGTAACTATATCCCTTCCAGTCAAAATTGGGAGGACTTGTTTTATTTAAGAGCAACACTTTGAGGAATGCAATATACGCTGGGGGGCTATTTAATGATGCACATCTGGATACTCCCACCATCTGTCTCTTCATTCCTAATCGCTTTCGTATTTTGAAAAAAGATGTATTTCCAGTGCTCTGCATACATTAGCTCAACTCATAGGGTAACGGTCTTGTAATGTAGGCTCAAACAGCATTTCCCCCAGTTTATAGACAAAAGAGGTGAGGCTAGGAAGACGTCAGGATGATGAGTATTACTGCAAGCTCCAGTTCTTTCCTCCCAGTAGTGTGAATAAGGCTACAATGAATTGTGGAGACACACAAACACACTATTTCAACCCAACTTTTCTCCAATATGGTCATTCTCAGGATACAGATGTATAAGCTGCTGGTGTGGCTGAAAGCTGGCTTAGCAAACCAGCAAACAAGTCAGATACCTGGAATTGCATTCACCACTGTTCCTCCAAATATTCCCATTTATCCCCATATATCTATTTGTATGTACGTGTCTGTTTGTTTATCTATCATCTATCTATCTATCTATCTATCTATCTATCTATCTATCTATCTATCATATCTACCTATTGTATCTATCATTTATCCATATCTGTCTGTCTGTCTGTCCATCATCTATCTATCTATCTATCTATCTATCTATCTATCTATCTATCTATCTATCTATCTATCTATCATATCTACTATTGTATCGATGATTTATATCTGTCTATCATCTATCTATCTATCTATCTATCTATCTATCTATCTATCTATCTATCTAGCTTCTACCTACCTACCTACCTACCGTGTTTCCCTGAAAATAAGTCCCTGTCTTATATTTTTTTGAACCCTGGAAATAAGTGCTCGGCTTTATTGCCATGCGCTCAACAGCCCAATTGGGCTTATTATCAGGGGATGTCTTATTTTGGGGGAAAACAGGGTATCTATTTATCTTCTCTCTCTCTCTCTCTCTCTCTCTCTCTCTCTCTCTCTCTCTCCTCCCTCCCTCCCTCCCTCCCTCCCTCTCTCTCTCTCTCTCTCTCTCCCTACCTACCTACCTGTCATTTCTCCAGATGCATGGGGTCTCCAAATCTCGATCATTTAGGGGCATCTAAAGTCTAGAGAGAATTTCAAGATCTGTCTTTTGACCAAATAATAACTCAAGATAGCTTTGATCAAAATCTTAATGAAAGAATCAGGGTAGAGGTTTTCCACAATTACTTTCAACAAGTAATGGATCAAAGACTTTTTCAACAAGTACAAGCTGTCTCCTCCTCTCTTCTTTCCAAATGAAAAGACAATAAAAATCATTCCTTGGTCACCTGCGCCAGCCTCCCCTTGCTCTGGGCTAAGCATCTATCAAGATTTCTCATCCCTGTATCTGGGGGGATCCATTTTCGTTCTCATTGCCTCTTACAAGGTGGTGAATGTTTATCTCTAATTTAAAGATAAGTATCTCAAAAATGAGAGATCAAAAATTGTGTTCAGCATTTTTCTTTCTTTCATAATTGTGGTCTAGCGATTCTCAGGATAGCAATCTGACATAAGAATTATGTTAAATATTAGCTGGGATTATGAGTGATTGCACAACGCAGGGTAAAACAGGAAGACTCAGCAATAAAAGATTATGACTAGATCTACATTAAAATAAAACAACTGATGTGATGCCACCCATGATATCATTTCCAGCTTGCCTGAGGCTCTTCTAACTTGTACAAGTTCAACAATATTCTCCTGGTTATGGGGAACAATGGATAAACATGGGACAAGTGTCTCCTCTTGCATGTAACTACTTGCCCCTCCCAACCTTGTGATCAAGGTGGCCCCTTTTCAGAGTTAAATGGACATCTGCTCTCAGTTACCCCTACCATTTTCCATGTGGTTTCTCTCAATGAAATTCCTGCTAAGGTCTGCCTTGCAGATCTTCTCAACGTGCCTCATGCATACATTCAGGAGGTCATCTCTGAGTATCCCCATTGCTGGACTCATGTTCTCTCCTTCGAGCAAGATGTTATATGTCGGCAGAGATGGAGGGATAACATAGCTTCTCATCATTGCTCCAAATTCCTGGGAAGAGAGAAGGGAGAAGAGAAAAGAGCAGGGAGGGAACAGGGAGGAGAGAAGAGCAGGGAGGGAATAGGGAGGAGGGAGGGAGAGAAAGAGGAGGAAGAAGAGAAGAGAGAAGAGAGAAGAGAGACGAGAGACGAGAGATGAGAGAAGAGAGAAGAGAAAAGAGAGAAGAGAGAAGAGCAGGGAGGGAATAGGGAGGAGGGAGGGAGAGAAGGAGGAGGAGGAGGAGGAGGAGGAGGAGGAGGAGGAGGAGGAGGAGGAGAAGGAGAAGGAGAAGGAGAAGAAGAAGAAGACTTTTTCAATGTCAAGCTATATTGCAAAAATATAAGAGGCTGCCAATTTCAACACATACTTAATGGGATAGGTTTGCCTGAAATGTAAACCAGATTAAATTCTCCCTTGGCTAATTAACCTTATTAAAGCTATCCCAGGTGGATCCTGCCCTACTGCCAGGCAGAATAAACATGCATCCCCATTAATATGTATCGACAGTTTTAATGGGAAGAGGGCAACATTGCTACTAGGTAAACCCAGAGCCATTGACATGGAAATGGAAGCTTTTCTTAGTCTAAGGAGATGATGTCAATGGAGCCAATGCATTAGCAGTTGATCAGGCTGAAATCATCTTTGTTGGTGGACTTTGTTCTCCCAAGCAACCTGAGAAAACCTGTACCTGTAGGAAGAGCACAGAGTCGCTGATTAGGCCAATCTGTTCCCTGGTTTCCTTGTCCTCCTGCAACAATTTGACCCTGTCTTCCAGTTCCTCCACAATCTCCTTGATGTTCTCCACCGCCACCTTCTCCCGGTGATCCAGGCCAGCTTTGACCTCATCCCGCTGTTTCTCGACATCACGGATCAGCTCTTTGAAATGCTGGTCTACGGTGGCTTTTTCGTTGGCAGTAAAATTCTAAACGGAGACCCCCCGAAAAGGGTGAAGAGAAAACCCATTTTCCATTAAAAATCCGAAACAGGCCATTGCAGAGCAACTATTAATTTAAGATCTTCCTTCAGGACAGGACTCTGTATTTTGTAAGGAGGCGAATCTCTCTCTTTTTTTTTTTTAAAGAAAAATCCTCACTTTAAACCAAGGGGTTTTAATTCTTTCTGGAAATTCTCACCATAAATCAAACCCTCTGAAGACTTGGGGCATAACTCCCAGAGATCTCCAAAAGTAGCTATCAAATTATTATTTCAAAGTATTCATTCAGGAGAAGTTATTAAACCCAGGACCGGGGAGTAATCTTTAACTAGATGTAATCTTAATAGCAAATTATTCTATCCTATTCCAGCAAGCCGGCCTGGCCTAATTTTCTCCCCTTTCTTTTTATTTATTTATTTTATTTATTTATTTATTTATTCGATTTGTATACCGCCCTACTCCCGAAGGACTCAGGGCGGTGAACAGCCAAACAATAAAATAACATAGACATAAAAAATTTAAAAACCAGATAAAATCAAATTAAATTATTTTGGCCCAGACAGATTAAAACACCCCAATAATTTAAAAACAGATTAAAATTTACATATTTAAAAGGGAAGAGATTAGGCCAAGCCCGCCTGCTGGAATAAAAAGGTCTTCACAGCGCGGCGGAAGGTGCGCAGATCCGGGATCCTCCGTATCTCCAGGGGGAGCTCATTCCAGACAGTTTAAATTTTTAAATTGAAATTTTAATTTGTTTTAAATTATTGGGATTTTTAATTGTCTTGGGCTAAATTATTTAATTTGGTTTTAATTATGTTTCTAACTTTTGTATTTGTGTATTTTATTTTGTGCCTGTTCACTGCCCTGAGTCCTTCGGGAGTAGGGTGGTATATAAATTTAATAAAACAAAACAAAACAAATACCTAAAACAAAGAAACAAATGACTGCAACTTTTTGGAGTGTGGCTTTCAGTTAAAAGAAGAAGAGGACATGTTGGCTTCTTTTTCCAGTAATAAGTTCAGCAAAAATTCATTGCCCTAGTCATGTATTTACATCAGTGATGGGATTCAGCCGGTTCTCTCCGGTTCGCGCGAACCGGTAGCGGCCGCTACGGGAGGCTCCGCCCACCCGCCCAAATGGTGGCGTGTGTGAGCGCAGCGAGCGCGCACGCATGCTCACATTTGCGAACCGGTAGGGAAGGTAAGTGAATCAGGGGTGGGTTCTACTTACCTTTACTACCGGTTCGCAACGGGAGCAAGCGCGAGCGCTTCTGTGCATGGGCAGATCGTCAATTATGACATCCGGTTGGGTGGAGCCTCCTGCCGCTTTTACTACCGGTTCTACAGAACCGGACAGAACTGGGAACAACCCATCACTGAAGTGAATCCCACCTCTGATTTAGATATGGGATAAGTAGAGAATCCAGAGGTGGTCATTTCGAATTTTGTCATTCACATTCGAGATGCTTTCGTTGGAACAACCCCTTCTGAGCATCCTAGAATCCCAGCGAAGGAACCATCCCACCTAAGAACCAACCACGGATTTTAATTTTTGTTAAAAATGTTGCTGAGCGAGGAGAAACCACTGCAGAAATCATGCCGCGACTTGCAGCCGAGATCTAACGAATCCTCTCCTTGTGGCTTTCTCGTTCGTTCATAAAGCTCCTCATCACCTATTCAAGTCAAGCGATGGGTTTCTGCTGAGAACTTTTTTTTTTCTCACAGAAAAATTCTCCGCTAAGTTTCTCCCAAAACGCAGACGGTTTCTTTGCGGTCACAGCAAGAAGACCATACATAAATGACGTTGTGAAATTCTGGGAGCCTGGGCAGGGGTGAAATCTACTTACTTTCCCTACCAGTTCAGAAGTGCACACGCCACGCATCACATTCATGCATGGACCCTCTGTGCATGCACAAACCCTTCTGCGTTGACTCTAAACTGATTTTGTAGCTTTTTAAATTCTTAAATCTTAAATTTGAATTGGTATTCCCACGTTTAATCTTATTTATTGGATATTCTGTTTTCATTTGTCTTTTAACTTTTGTATTTTCTGTTTCTTATTGTTGTGAGCCGCCCTGAGTCCTTCGGGAGAAGGACGGCATATAAATCCAATAAATAAATAAATATAAAACAGGTTGCTTCCGGGCAGGTGGACTACCGGGCAGGTGGATGGAGCTTTGCGCTGCTGTCACTACTGGTTCTCCGAACCAGTCCGAACCGGGAGCATTTCACCCCTGAGCCTGGGGTGGGTATGAGTGTGAGTAAATTCAGGATTCTTAGGTATGTGTATATAGCTCCAAACTAGAGACATCACTATTATGAAATTCACAGGAAATAATAATAATAATAATAAGAGATCTGAATTAATTCTGCTTTGATTAGATCTCATCTCATGGAAAGAGGTTATGTTCTGAGCACCACACCTTAAGGACGACCTAGAAAATTGGAACAAGTTTGGAACAGAGCTGTCAGAGAGCAGCAGTGACATCCCACCGAAAAGATTAAAGGAGATGGAAACATAAATGGAAGTATGAGTAGAGGTGAGATCAAATACCTGAAAAGCAAAAGATTAAAATTTAATCTTCATAGTTCAGGGGTGAATCATTTGGGGGAAAAAATGGATTTTAGCTACAGGGCACCAAATTCTGACTTGGGGGTGGAGAAATCCTATCAAAAAGCTATGATCAACAAACCCAGTTATATCCTGTTGCTACTTTGGGAAAAGCCAACGTGGCACAAATTAAAAAGTGGACTGGTGGCATCTCTGCATGATGTCACTCTGGATCCACCACCTCTAGGGTAAAAGCGGAGACTGAAGAGGTGGGAGTTTCCAACAAAGAGAAAATGAACCACGCCAGGTTCCATGGAGCTCCAGCACTGCAAATCCAAGCCAAACTTCCAGTGATTCTCTATAAACTCCAGTTGAGTCAGATAAACCTTGATGGAGCTGATGAAAAGAAAGCGGCATGTAGAAGATGACCACGCTAAGCCCGAGGGAGGGGTCAAGCACATCATCAGTCATGAGTTCCTTCGCTCCCGCAACAGATCTAAGTCCAGCCCACCCTGAATTCTATTGATCCTTATCTACTGCCAATTTGCTTGGACTGTTAGTAGTTCAGATTCTTGTAGAGCAGGGGTGTCAAACTCAAAGCCCGCGGGCCAGATCCGGCCCGCGATGTGGTCAGATCCGGCCCGCAAGGCCGTCCTAGAAAATGTAAGGGGCTGGCCCGCATCGCTACTGCCCAGTCTACCCAATGCAAAGCAGAAACATTGGGCCAACGTGGCTTCGTCCCAGTCTACACAATGCAAAGAGGAAACATCAGGCCCATGTCACGTTGGCTCCGTCTACCCAATGCAAAGTAAAAACATGCCAGCAGTTTGGGGATTGGCATCAAGCTGGCCACGCCCACCCAGTGGCCACACCCACCCAGTCAGCCACACCCACCCAGCCCCCCAAGGTCAACCACAGCCCTGACGCAGCCCTCAATGAAATTGAGTTTGACACCCTTGTTGTAGAGAGCTTAAGCTTGCAATAAATCTTTATACCCATTTGAACTGCCTGGATCTTCTGACTTCCCTGGCGCTTGACACAGCATCGTGAAAAGGGCCACGTTGACGTGGGATGGGTGTCCGACCAGCATGGGTCAAGAGGCTCAGTTGCCACGGACGATCGGATTGAAACCAAGCGAGCTCAAAAGGGGAAGTCAAGAGCTACCGAAGTGAAAAGACCGAAGAGGAAGGACACCGGTGCGTTGCTCACCTTGATACGGTCTCTCTCCTTGTGCCACTTGTCGACTTCATCGTCAAGCTCGACGATCTTCAGCTGCAGCTGTTCTTTTTGCAAAGAGAGTTCGGTCTACAGGAGGGAGAGAAGGAGAGTGATGAAACTGCACAGCCCCAAGTCAACTCTCATGTCTTTGGCCCTGGAATCACGGGGCCTCCAGCTACCGCTTCTTGGCAAGCGCTGAGTTTGGCTTTAGGTTGTTCTCTGGTAGAGCCCAAAGCTCTGAGCTCCCAAAGCAATCCCGTGAAGAATAAAGAGGCTTAGAAGACGTCAGATCTATATTTTTTCTTTAATTAATTAATCGCTTGGGAAGAAGTGGGAGTGGGAGAAATGGACCTGTTCATCAAGAGGGGCAAGGAGAAAAGATAGATTTCAAAACCCAGCTGGGTTTGAATCAAAGCCCTGTGCTCAGGGTGCGCCTCTCCAAAACTAAATGCTTTTCGCGTTAATTGCCAGATGATGTCACCTTTTAATGTTGCAATTGATCAGAAGATGCCCGTGGTAGAAACGTGGTTGCAACACGACTTGTGGATTTGGGCCTGGCCCTTTGGCATGGGTACAAGAGAAAGTGGAGGAGAGAAGCTTGACCTCAATCCATCCATGCAGCTGCCCCTTCCCCCCACCCCCCATTTTAAGGTGTGTCCTGGGCAGAGGGGAGCTAGAGACACCTTGATGGGTTCCTTAGCGAGCCCGTGAACAAAGTGCCAGTTTCATAAACACACAAAGAGCCTTAGAAGAGGATATTTGGTGGCTCTGGGTTGAACTGTGGAGTCCTTGGTGCTCTCTGAGCTGGATTGTTTTCTTACAGATGTTTCATTACCCAAATAGGTAACGTCATCAATGCCAGAAGGGAATGGGGTTATATTGTATACAAACAGAGAACAAAGCCCATTCTCTTTTAGCACTGATAATGAAAGGTCTGCAAGAAAACCACCCTCAGAAAGCACCAAGGACACACAGTCCTCCTCCTCCTCCTCCTCCTCCTCCTCCTCTCCACAAACCCCCTTGCACTGATAATGTTACCTAGTTGGGTCAAGAAACTTCAGCAAGAAAACAACCAACTCCCCTCCTCCTTCTCATCCTCCTCCTCCTTCTTCTCCCCCTCCTCCTCCATCCATTCTCTTTCTCCTCCATTCCAGAAACCCCACTCCCTTCTAGCACTGAAGATGTTACCTAGTTTGGTAATGAAACATCTGCAAGAAAACCCACCAAACTCAGAAAACACCAAGGAGCCCACAAAGGAACTTATAACATCCACGGCTGTGGTCACATTTGTGCAAGTTGAGGAACTGATGTGGCGTCCAACCATATGTAGTTCCTTACCTATACGATGCATACCACATTAACAGTCCCATATCAGTTCTATGTATTCACATCCAAATGAGCCCCTGGATTCACAAGCTACCACAATCTAGTTGCGGCAACAAAGTTGATACAGTCCAGCCCTCCAGTTAGAGACACCTGGAGATGATGCCTGAGTAGGGCTTCCTGACTAAGCAGGGGGGTTGGACTAGAAGACCTCCAAGGTCCCTTCCAACTCTATTATTCTATTCTATTCTATTCTATTCTATTCTATTCTATTCTATTCTATTCTACTCTACTCTACTCTACTCTACTCTACTCTACTCTACTCTACTCTACTCTACTCTATTCTATTCTATTCTTTATTTATTCCAATCTCTCTTCTCTTCTCTTCTCTTCTCTTCTCTTCTCTTCTCTTCTCTTCTCTTCTCTTCTCTTCTCTTCTCTTCTCTTCTCTTCTCTTCTCTTCTCTTCTCTTCCCTTCCCTTCCCTTCCCTTCCCTTCCCTTCTATTCTATTCTATTCTATTCTCTATTTGTTCCAATCTCTTCTCTTCTCTTCTCTTCTCTTCTCTTCTCTTCTCTTCTCTTCTCTTCTCTTCTCTTCTCTTCTCTTCTCTTCTATTCTATTCTATTCTATTCTATTCTATTCTATGCTACTCCTGAGAAGCTGAAATAGAATATCCGAAGGCCAACCCTCTGCCTTATTAACGATGTACAGAAACACACTTTGTATAAATAAGGAGGCGACATTTCGTTGCGATAGCTAATTAATTCATTAGCTCTTAGGTTTAACTCACTGCCTTCCCTTCCTCTATGCAAATCAGAGCATCCCAGCCTCAGATAACACCCCAACTTTTGCTGAAGAGCTGAAGAAATTGCTCAGGTTTTGCTTCAGCTGCACAGGTCCCCCGAGGCTGCACATGACCCCCCTCCCCCACCCCACCCCCCGCCGCTGGGAACCACTCCAAAATGTTGCTTCATTGTAATTTTTAATTTGGCAGAAGAGGAAAAGATGAAAGGCATGAAGAGTAATCATGCGAACTGTATGAAATTAATCTAATTTAATTTGCATGGAAATTAAATTACAGGCTATTTAATGCTGGGCCTTGACCTACCTGCCTCCTGTTTGGTTCCGGGGACACCTTGTTTTCATAGTCCACACCCCACCCCACTTTCAGGTGGCCCAAGGCCCTTCCAAAGTTGGATCGGCTCACGAGCGGGACCTTTCCAGACTTCAGATCTCTAAGCCAAGCACCATCTCAGGAGTTCTTTTCTATCTTGGATCAGACTATCTCTTGGCAAGAGCATAAAAGACAATAAGTTGTAAGCTTCTCCCTTAAGATAGGGATGGGATGGGTTGAAAAAAAATGTTTCTCACTCATTCGGACTGCTTGCAGAATTCTGCATGCCTGAAGCAACTCTGACACCGTTAATGAGAGTGGCTTTTCTCACACTTCTTGTCTGTTTGCAAAATATATATATATATATGCTTTTTTTTTTTAGAGCTGGTGTGTAGGCGAATAGCTAATGTTAACGAGTTGAGGAAGGTGGAGGGATCATGCTTGGTTCGAAGAAGGTTTTCCTTCTTCCAAGCTGTTTGCGTCCTGATTTCATTAACATTAAAAGCGCTCAAACAACTTATCCTTTTATAGGAGGTGCAAAATACAAAATAATTCACAATAGGAGCATGCAACAGAGACAATGCAACAGCTGGCATCATTCCAACCCAGGCAGGAGTTTTAAACAGAGGCAGCTTTCAAATATTTTTACCACCGGTTCGCCATACGCGCGCATTTCCTGGGAAGCCGAAAGGTGCCCCTGGGGGGGGGGGGGAGGAGGTGTTAAGGGGTTTTGCATTAGGTTAGGTTAGAAAGGTTAGGTTAGGTTATTTTTTTTATTATTATTTGATTTATATGCCGCCCTTCTCCGGAGACTCAGGGCGGCTTACAATGTGCTCAGCAATAGCCTTCATCCTTTTGTATATTTATACAAAGTCATCTTATTGCCCCCACAAACTGGGTCCTCAATTTACCCACCTTAGAAAGGATGGAAGGCTGAGTCAACCTTGAGCCTTGGAGAGATTCGAACCTGCAGTAATTGCAGGCAGCTGGTCTTAATAACCAGCTTAATAACAGGGTGCCTTAGACCACCGTACTACCAAGGCTACTAACAAGGTTAGAAAGTTAACCCTTTCTTTTGTGTTTTGTCTGCTTTATTTTTCAGGATGTGGTTCTTTCTGCAGGGGGGTGGGGGGCGCCTGTCAGCTTTGGAAGCCATATTAGGCCGGAAGCTTCAATGCTGCCACCTCCTCATGTGTGGGAAAGTAGGAGGGGGGGATTTAGGAGAGGGGTTTAGTAGATATAGTAGCATTCTTCCTGTTGGTCAAGGTCAGGGCGATCCAGCATCTGGAGAAGGAGTGATCAGGGGGCTGGATCGGGATGGAACGGACGTTGATTAGATCATGTGATCGATTGGAGAGAAAGGGGGTGATTTTGGGAGCTTTGACTTACTGAAGGAAAACCCGGTCTTTTCAGATTCGGATTTTTCCAGATGTGCCAGTTTGCCTATTCTAGTAAAGAGGACTTTGGAAAATGCTTGCTTCCGCGTCTTTACTTGGAGTTGGGGTTTTTCTGGAACGCTGACACTCACTTTTCTATACCCATGGCTTAGGACCGGGGTATATACGAGACCGCCTTCTGCCAGCAATAACCTCCCACTGGCCAATACGCTCCCACAGAGAGGGACTCCTCAGGGTGCCGTCGGCCAAACAATGCCGACTGGCGACACCCAGGGGGAGAACCTCCTCTGTGGGGGCACCAGCCCTCTGGAATGAGCTGCCTCTAGAGCTTCATCTTAGCCCCAACCTGCGTACTTTTCGCCGCGCCCTTAAGACTCTCCTGTTCCAGCAAGCCGGACTGGCCTAGTATGAATTTTTAAAATGTATGTATGTTTTAATTCACGGCCAAATTTTATATTCGATTTTAATTGGTTTTAAATTTTATAAATCTATGCGTTTTAATATGGTTGTACACCGCCCTGAGTCCTTTGGGAGAAGGGCGGTATAGAAATCTAATAAACTCTTAAACTCTTAAACTTCATACGGGGGGGGCGCCTTCCACGCATGTGCTTTGCTTGTGTGTGGGCCTTCTACGCATGTGCCCGGCCTCGAAAATGTGGCTAAATAGGATGACATAGCGCCAGGGCGGGGGAGCGGGCCCACCTGTGATCGCCGCTACCGGTTTTACCCAACCGGCTGAATCTCACCACTGATTTTGAAGAAAGATTTGCTGAGCAATTTGTAACCGTCCTGTTCTCACGTAACGGGGCGCCCTCACGAGTGGGATTACTCACCCAACATGATGACTTTGTAAGATGTGTGAACCAGAGAGAAGAAAAAAAACAACAACAGCGAAGCGCGTAAGAAGAAGCGATGATTAAAAACCGTGGGCAGAACGGAAGTGTTAACGCAGAGGTGGTGTCTTCCTCGCCAGCTAATCCTGACACTTTCCATGTGTAAAGAAAGAAAAACAGAGGGACACCTGGGGGCACTGTGAAGCTCGGTGGGAGTCTAGATTTGGTCCTGATCACGTCAGGTGGGATCCCACCTTGTCTCTGATGGTCGTGGAACTGCTCCTAAGGCCTAAGAAATAATTAATCTCTTCTAACTTCCACCTCAGAAGGTGGAAATTATTCTACTGACCCCAGGATCTGGGTGGCTGCTAATGAAATGGATTAATTGGGGCAGTCCTAATTATGGCTGGAGGCACGC